GCAAGAGGGGGGCTGGCAGCCGGTGGGAGCCGGACATGGAGGACGAGTGGCCGGAGGAGAGCGCGGGTCTGGGCATGGTGGGAGCCCAAGCGGAAAATGAAAAACCCTTTGCCGAGCCACGGATCCCTCTGATCGCCCAGTGCGGGACGCGGGACAGCGGAGACGGGGCTTGGTAAAAGCGAGGGGGGGGTGGAGACTCCCCTGAGTCTCTCCGAGGAATGTCCCAGACGCTCCCGAGTGACGCGAGATCGAACAAAACTTCATCCTTGAAAAGAACCGAGGGCTGATAACCACCAGCTCAATTCCAGACCGGGAAGACTCGTCCCCCCGCACCCGTGAGGAGGAGCACGGCTGCTCCTTCACACAGCGAGCGCGGCGCATTTAAATAAAACCCACAGCAGCAAATGCCGACTTCTGCCCCAAGTGAGGGGGTCTCCCCCAAACTTACCCCAGTGCGAGGGGGCGCCCCGAGGGAGAACACTTCAGAATTCCCCTTGAGGGGACCGTCCGGCTCCTCTTTTACAAAGCTCCAAACGCATCACAAATACCCAAACAAAATCCGGAGCAGCAGTGTGCGGATCACGCCATCGCCCTCTACAAGTTCCAGTACCGGCCCCAACAGCTCTACAACGCGGAGTTAATTCAGATACAACCTACTGGGATGCAACCAGTGCCCGGCGCTCACCTCCCAGAGAGCTGTCGCAGAGACTCCCCCGACCAGGGAATCGCTGCCCCCAAAACACTCCGGCATGCGCTGGAGTCCTCACGACTCCTCTGGTCTGTCGAGGCTCCGGAGAGCGGGTCCCGTCCGGGTGCTCAAATTCTGTTCCTGAAAATCGTAACCAAAAGCTGATGGCGGCTTAGAAAGGCCACGATGGTTTATTGGAGCGTCGGGTGCGTGGAGGATTTCTCCTCCTAATGTGCGCGCCGAGGGGAGGAAGCACACGCGTTGGATACGTGAAAAAAAATATTTATACAATTCCTGAGAAGTTGCTGCCTGCCTCCGGGACAGCGCCTTGCGAGGCTGCCCCCGCGCACGCAGACTTGCTTATCTAGTCTGTGCAAAGTTTACACGCAGGAGGCCTGTTATTCCTAGACCAACGGTTTGAGTCTTCGGTCTCATCTACAGGAAGCTGAAAAAAATCATCCGGCAACAACCAATCGTTCTCCGGGGACCTTTTAAGGTCTTGCGAGCGGTACGGGGAGGAATCCTGCCCCGGGGAGGGGGCTGCGAGGACGGTCTGAGCCGTGGGGTCCTCGCCGCCGTGCATCGCGTGCAGGGGGGAGCACCCAAAGTGCCCCAAATCCAAGAACCGTTCGGTGACCAACCGGCCTAGGGACCTCCCCCTAGTTATATAAAGCCTGCCCCCCCAGTTTGAACCCCTCCTAAAGAACGGGCGGTTCACCGAAGCCTCCTCTAGAAGAGAGGGAGAGGTATGGAAGTTCTGAGCTGCGGGTTGGCTCGGGGGGGGCCGAATCCTCACGGGGGCGAGGGGAACGCTCAGGTGGGAGAGTCGGTAGCGGCGTCGGAGAGCGAATTGTTAAAGCTGACACCGAGGAACCGGCGTTTATTTACACGGAGTCCTCTGGCAGGGGTGAGGGCTGCGGCGTGCGGCTCCCGCGCCGGGAACAAAACCAGCGGGAGGCAGATCGGGTACCGGCGTGGCAGCGTGAAAAATGGGAAGAAATCCGAAATATAGCGAAAGAGAGAAAGCTTTTGGTAGGGTGGGTCGCTGCAGACCCGGTGGGAAATCACTCAGCCCACCGACTACATCACCAGGTGGATTCGCTGGCCCGGTGGCAAGAACAGCTGCGGAAGGCGAGGAGGGAAAGCGGGAGCGTTGGCTCGAAGCTGCAGGTGGGACGCGGCCGTCTGGGAAGCAGGGGGCTGCACTGGGGGGTGGTGACACAACTCCAGCGTTACAGCGTGTGGCTCACACGGTCCGGAGAACACGATCCTCTTCGGGACCAAGCTCTGCACTTCGGGGACCAGAAAGGGTCAGGGGACACCCGGCAGGTTGTGTCCTGGTTGGGGGACACCTGGCAGGTCGGTGTCTTGTTGGGGGACACCTGGCAGGTTGTGTCCTAGTTTGGGGGACACCCGGCAGGTCGGTGTCTTGGTTGGGGGACACCTGGCAGGTTGTGTCCTAGTTTGGGGGACATCGTTGGTGCCGTCGGGATGTTGTTTCCTGCTGTTGAGATCCTTGATGCCGCTGGGATCTTTGGTGCTGTCGGGATCTTTCCTGTTGTCGGGGTTTTTGGTGCTGTTGAGCTCTCTGACGCTGTCGGGATCTTTCCCGCTGTCGGGATCTTTCGTGCCGTCAGGGGTTGCAGATGGTCACCGGGTGATGAGCACTCGGTGTATTGGGCTATTGGGCTTCCTACTGTTCCTGTTGTTTTGTTACAGTCACTAAACTTGGGGGTTTTTTTTGTGTGTGTGTGTGTGTGTGTGTCCTCTTTTACTGGGGAGCGCCCACCGGCCGGGACCGGAGCAGGACAGCTGGACCCCGCGATGGGTCTCGGCGGGAGCAGGAAGGGTCCCGGGATTGACCCAGGCGGGAGCAGCTCGGCGAGGACGGGGGGCGGCAGCGTACGAGGTTCACAAAGTGGTTCCGTGGCTCGTTTCAACCCAACCGGATCCGATGGGACGCGGGAGGCGCGGCCAGGAAAGAGTTAACGTCCCTCGGGGGGGCGGGGCATGGCAGGACACGGCCACTCATTGGAGCGTTCGCTGTCACGTCACGCCAAGTGTCTCACACTCGTGGGGTGTTTTTTTGGGTTTTTTTGGTTTCCGGCCCTGGCAGGGCGGGAGTTGCGGCGCGGTCGGGTCGCTGCTGGCGACGGGCTCGGGGCCACGGGCTGAGACGTCGCCGCATTTCCCCCGGTTCGGACTCTACTGTAAGTTTTTCTCGGCAGCTCTTTTTCAACCTACAAATTTCTTAATTTCTTCTTCTGTCCCTCCCCTGTTTCACCGCGGGGGCCGGGGGGTAAACAACTGGCCACGTGGCGATTGGCGACCGGTGAGTTCAAACCACGCCGGGATGCCCCACGCTCGCCCTCGGGCGACTTCGCCCCGAAGCCCCAGGGCCCAGCGTGGGCCCGATGCAGGGACCGAGGGCAACAGCCGTCGGGGAGGTCGCGGCTGCCCCCCACTCGCTGTGTCTGTTTTCCCTGGGAAGAGGGAGAAGGAAGCTCCAGCGAACCGGCTCCGCTGTCCTGGACAACCTTGTCGGGGGCACCTGTGGGACGGGGACCCCTGACCCTAGAAGCTCCTGTCAGTGCAGGAGCCCTGGGGGGCAACGGGTTGATTTGCAGAAAACGGACTCATTGAATCCACGCCAAATCAGCACCAAATCCACACCAAGTTCGCACCAAATCCACACCAAATCAGCACCGAATCCGCACCAAATCCACGCCAAATCAGCACCGAATCCACACCAAATCCGAACCGAATCCACACCAAAGACTTAAACAATTCATTTACTACACGAGTATCAGGCCCCTTTTGTCTAAATTTTGTCCTTTCGTGCATCCCAAAGAGCAGCCAACCCAGGGGCTGCCACGTACAGGCAAACCGAGGCAGGGTCTGTACCCCAAAACGGCCGCCAGAGCCCCCCACTCTCAGTGCGCTTGTGCGGTGTATTAACCTAGGCATTAGATTTCCTGGAAATGGGTCAGTGCTTCCCGGGGGAATGATATAAATATTCATTTTCTGGATGTGTCTAACGAACATGCACCTTAGGAGGAGGAATCCCCCGCGCAGCCAGCGCTGCAATAAACCCCCGCCGGCTTGGTTTGGGGAGTTTCCTTGGTTACGGCTTTCAGTAGCAGATTGTTCCATCTTTGAAATTATTTTCTGTCTCTCTGTTGCAGGTTGGGGGCGACCCATCGCGGGACGGCCGTTCCCAGTGGCAGAGTGGATCGATATTTCTGTCGTCTGATTGATTTCTGTCGGGGATATTTTAGCGCCGTGCTACGGGAGGATGGATTGGAAAACCTGTTTGTTCTCCATCGCCGTCGGGGCAGTGGGCTCGTGGGGAGGAGAATCCCCCGGTCTAGCCTGGAAGCTGATCCAAGGGTTTATGCATATTTGGAACCACACGGACCGGGGGATATGTGTCGCCCTCCCCGGTTCTGCACCCGAGGGATTCAAATTTACAATGATCAGTCTAAACTTGACGAAGATACTGACGAACGAGTTAAACCGTCTCAACAGAATGGAGGGAAACGCCACGTGGGGGACGACGGAGTCTCCTTTTCTTGAACAGAAGGAGGGGCAACCCTGGAAAAGTAACGGGACGTGGATCGAACACACGAGGGCTTTGTATCAGCTCCCAAGCAATTCAACGTGGGAAGATTTGTGGAACCAAACTTGTTACCGGTCCTTAACCCCGGAGTCTAGTTCGGAACCAACGAACCCCACCCCTGTTCCCATTCCGTGCACCATAGTGCCGTGGTGGGATTCCCCCTCCGAAAGCGGTTATTTTGAACACGAATTCAGCGCGCGCTGGGACGCCGACTGGTGCATCCACGTCCCTGCCAGCGCAGGGGCAGTGAAGCCGGTTAACGAAACCAGGTACGAGTGGGCTTGGTCTCTGAAACAACTGTTTAACCCCAACCGTCCTCTGTCTGCTGCTTCCGACCTCCCCGACGGGATGGGGATCGGGTGGGAGGTGGGCGTCCGGAGCTGCGCCTACAACCAGGTCAGGCTCCCCACCGGGGAGACGCTCTGCTGGAACAGCCGAAAACGCCGGAGCGCTGCCCCGCGCCGCGCCGGCTCCTGGCTGAGCTGTTCCCGAATACTGAACTGCTCCACCGGAGCGGGTGACCCCTTCGAAACTTGGTATATCCCGGAACTGAGGACGTTTATTCGAGACATGTGCACTTGCTGGGGTTACCCCAACTACGGCTACCGGAATGGGGACGAGCGGTGTAACGGCTCCTTCCGAGACCCCAGCGTAGCGCTGTCCTGCGGCATCCCGGTCACGCACGGCCCGGATCCGCGGAAGCTCCGGAGCGCGGACGGCAAACAAGAGGAGCTCCCCCGAGACGACCCGTTTGATTGCTTGCAGGCGCGGTACGCGGCCCCGCGAGGGACGGTCTGGGCGTGCTCCAACGGCAAGTTGTATTCCCAGTTGAACGTGTACGACATGGCCGGCCTGCGCTGCTCCATCGCGCTCCCCTCCACGTGTCCCTCCGGAGCGTTTAATTTCACATCTCGCCGCAACAGGATACAGCGAGATGTCGGGAGCCCGGCGGACGCCCAGGGAGGGACGGAGGGGACACACACGCCCGATTCCTACGCATCGGGACAAACATTTGCGTTACAAACGGAGGCGTTTTTCGCGCGCCACCTGCGCCGCCTCCACCGCTCCAGAGAAGAACGAGGCCGGCGGCGCCGCGGAGCCGCCTCAAGCGACGCGCCCGGCACATCGGTTTGACGGGCTCGGCCCCGGCCCCCGGCCGTGCCGAAGCCTCTCGGACTCACGGGGTGGGGGAAAACGCCTTATAAATATCGGTCTTACGATCTGCTGTGGGTTTTTGGTTTAAGCTGGGCCTTGCAGGGGCTGGATGTACGCACTCAGACCCTCGATCTCTTCTCTTTCCTCCCCTCTCTCTCCCCTTTTCTCTCTCATTAGGCGGACCACGGCTCGTTGTAACCCAGGGGCGAGTTTTGATGAAGTTCATGGATGTCCAGAAGCTTTTGTTGGAAAATAAACCCTCTGCAGAGGAGGCGGCCTCTCGTGTGGGACGTGCTCTCCCCCAGCCAAGGGAACCAGCGAACACCAGTCGCTCCCTCTCCCGCTGCGGGTCGAGCGGGACGGGACGCCGGGTCCTCTCCCGGGGGTGACATGGGGCTGGTGTCTGGGGTGGGACTCCCGGGTCCCCTCCCTGAGCCCGCGGGGTGTGGGGGGGATGATCGGTGCTGCCCGTGCCACCCTCCGCTCCGGCCAGGCCTCCTCGGCGGGGGCTCGGGCACCACCCTGCTCCTCGCCACCCACCACCTCCCGCCCAGCAGCATCCCCAGTACGGCCACGCCACGGACAATCTGCTCGGAGGGGTCCCTGGGGGGGCTGGGACCCTCCCCACGTGCTCTGTGCCTCAGTTTCCCCAAGCTGGCGGGCCGCACTGTCCTTCCAGGCACCTCACGGGCACCGTGGTGATCGCCACGTCCCGGTGTGCCCGAGCGGGGCAGGGACGCGGGGGCAGATCCCCTCCTCCGTGCTCTGGGGCCGGATCGG